AAACCAAAGGAGGAGGAGGAGAAGGAGGAAAAAAAAAAAAAAAAAAGGAAACCAGTTTTCTTTACCAGCACGCTTTTCAGAGCCTTTAATATTGAGAATTGCATTGAAAATCTCAAATAGGATAAAATGTACACCACTTCCAACATGATTTAATCTTTTTTCATGGACTGTGTCATGAAACTACGGTTCTTTAGAGCACACTTTGGGGAACATTGCTCTACATATTTGATAATAACAGCTGGAACACAAGTAGTGGTAATGGGTATGAAAAACACCAGTTAAGGCCAGGCACAGTGACTCACACCTGTAATCTCAGTGCTTTGGGAGGTTGAGGCAGGCAGATCATTTGAGGTCGAGAGTTCGAGACCAGCCTGGCCAACATGGTGAGACCCCATCTCTACTAAAAATAAAAAAAATTACCTGGACATAGTGGTGCACACCTTTAGTCCCAGCGACCTGGCAGGCTGAGGCAAGAGAATCACTTGAACCCAGGAGGTGGAGGCTGCAGTGAGCCACCGAGATCACACCACTGTACTCCAGCCTAGGCGACAGAGTGAGACTCCATCTCAAAAAAAAGAAAAGAAAAACAGCAGTTAGATGGGAGTCCTTACAGAGAAAGCACCAAGAAGCACCAGCCATTCCTGGTATATGGTAGGCATTCAATACCTATACAGAAAGTAAGAATGGTTCAATACCAGTAGATGTTGGTGTGGATACGGTGAACAGGGAATGCTTCTACACTGCTGGTGGGAATGTAAACGAGTACAACCACTATGGAAAATAGTGTGGAGATTCCTTAAAGAACTAAAAGTAGAGCTACCATTTGATCCAGCAGTCTCACTCCTGGGTATCTACCCAGAGGAAAAGAAGTCATTATACGAAAAAGATACTTGCATATGCATGTTTATAGTGGCACAATTCACAATTGCAAAATCGTGGAACCACCCCAAATGCCCATCAGACAACAAGTGGATAAAGAAACTGTGGTGTATTTACATGATGGAATAGTACTCAGCTATAATGAATTAATGGCATTTGCAGCGACCTGTATGAGATTAAAGACTATATTTGTAAGTGAAGTAACTCAGGAATGGAAAACCAAACATCGTATGTTCTCACTGATATGTGGGAGCTAAGCTATGAGGATGGAAAGGCCTAAGAATGACACAATGGACTTTGGGGATTTGGGGGAAAGTGGGAAGGGGACAAGAGATAAAAGAATACAAATAGGGTACAGTGTATACCGCTTGGGTGATGGGTGCACCAAAAATCTCACAAGTCACCGCTAAAGAACTAAGTCATGTAACCAAATACCACCTGTAGCCCAGTAACCGTGGAAAAAAATAAGCCATGAAATTAGCGAGGCATCGTGGTGAGCACCTGTAGTCCCAGCTACCCAGGAGGCTGAGGCAAGAGAATTACTTGAGCCCAGGAGGTGGAGGTTGCAGTAAACCAAGATCACACCACTGCACTCCAGCCTGGGCGACAAAGCAAGACTCCAACTCAAAAAATATATTTAAAAATTAAAAACATGAAGAGATACTTTTACATATAAAAACCATGCCAGATAATTACTAAACATACGAACTTGCTAAACATGTAAAATTCCTTCACATCTTTTCAAGGCAATGTATATTAAAAATATAGTAAGATTTCCCCCCACCCCCAGATTGTATGCTGAGAATCAAGGGGAAAGGAGTACAGGATGGGCATGTGGGGAGTTTTTAGCTTCAGCATGCTAGTGATGGTGCCATGGAAGGCTAGGAGAAGGAACTGCTTTATGTGAAAGTTGAGTACTACTTGAGGAGCTGAGGGAGATCCAGCCAGAAGGCTCAGTGGATGCTGAAACCGTGGATTTGCGAGAGGAGTCATTGTTTTTGTTGTTGTTTTGTTTTTGTTTTTGTTTCTCATCAGATGTATTGTGGAAAAAAATATCTGGTTAAAATGTCTGATTATTTGAATTATAGATAAATAGTAATTTTCTTTTTTCTTTTTTTTTTTTTTCTTTTTTTTTGAGACGGAGTTTCGCTCTTGTTACCCAGGCTGGAGTGCAATGCCGCGATCTCGGCTCACCGCAACCTCCGCCTCCTGGGTTCAGGCAATTCTCCTGCCTCAGCCTCCTGAGTAGTTGGGATTACAGGCACGCGCCACCATGCCCAGCTAATTTTTTGTAGTTCTTTTTTTAGTAGAGACGGGGTTTCACCATGTTGACCAGGATGGTCTTGATCTCTTGACCTCGTGATCCACCCGCCTTGGCCTCCCAAAGTGCTGGGATTACAGGCTTGAGCCACCGCGCCCGGCCGATAAATAGTAATTTTCGTACACAACTTACTCTAATACAGAAAGCTAACCATATATTTAGTCTAAAAGAAATTTCATGGGGCCAGGCGCAATGGCTCAACAGCTGTAACCCCAGCACATTCTGGGAGGTAGAACAGAGAGGATCACTTGAGGCCAGGAGTTTGAGACCAGCCTGAGCAATAGGACAAGAACTCCTCTCTGCAACAAATTGTTTTTTAAAAATTGCTAGATATGGTGGCTTGTACCTGTGGTCCTTGCTACCCAGGAGGCTGAGGAGGAGGATCCCTTAAGCCTAGGAGTTTGAGGCTGCAGTGAGCTGTGATCGTTCAACTGCACTCCAGCCTGGGTGACCAAAAAAGAGGAAAAAAAGAAATGTTATGATTAACAAAAGGACCAACCCTATAGTGATTTTTTCAGACAGACAGTCGTGGCCATTCTTCTTATCTTCATCAGTGGTTTTTTTTTTTTTTCAGTCTGATTTACTTATAAGAAGTTAATTAATCGTTAAGTTTAATGTTTTGTTCTTTCATTCAGGTATTTGCCTTTGATTATTGCTTTTGGTCCATGGATGAATCTAACACTACAAAATATGCTGGTAAGTTTTCTCTCTCTATGCCTGATAGTTGGGCCTCTGGCCTCTTCTTCCATTTGAGTCTATTTTCCTTAATTCCTCTGGAGTTTTGCTTTTCCTGTGTAATTCACACCTGTTCTTTCCAGTTCTACCACATGGGTTTTAAAGTCAGTAAGATTTGGTTTCAGAATCTGGGTCTGCCACTTACTTGCAAAATCTTTGGATAGATTTTTATTAAGCTTCAAGTTATTAATCTGTAATGGCGGTTATTGGTGTCTTCAAAGATGTTCTAAGGATTTGAGACAATAGGAGAACTGCCTCAAGCCATAAATGGTAGCTGTTGTGAGGATCACATGAAGAAAAGGTTCCATGTGCCATGCCTTTCCTTATCACTGATTTTCAGGGCATCCCCTGCTCTCTTTATATAAGCAGAGCACAGGTGCTGTGGTTTCTAAAACCCACTCAGATCCTGAGTGTCCTCAGCTCTCAGTGGTCCTATGAATGAATACTACGTGCCCCTCAGGGAGGTGCTGCCTCTGAGCCCCACGTTTTGCTAGGGCTCTCTCCTTGTGACGTTTTATCCTCATTCCATTCAATGCAAATGACTGCTGTTTTATTATTTATGACCATAGGCTTTCCTGGGAGTCACTCACAATTGCTTTAGTTCAAGAGGGAAGCATTTGGTTTGGTGGAGGAAGTCTTTGGTTCTTTTGCTTCGGATTATGCCCTCTTTTTCTTAGATATTTCATCTTTTTTAAAATTTATTTCTCGGCTGGGCATGGTGACTCACATCTGTAATCCCACCACTTTGGAAGGCCAAGGTGGGCGGATCACTTGAGGTCAGGAGTTCAAGACCAGCCAGGATAACATGGCAAAACCCCATCTCTAAATATACAGAATTTAGCCAGGTATAGTGGTGGGTGCCTGTAATCCCAGCTACTTGGGAAGCTGAAGCAGGAGAATGGCTTGCACCCAGGAGGCAGAGGTTGCAGTGAGCCGAGGTCCCACCACTGTGCTTCCACCTAGGTGACAGAGTGAGACTCCATCTCAAAAAAAAAAAAATTATTATTTTTCTAACTGGCAAATAAAAGTTGCATATATTTATTATATACAATATGATGTTTTGAAATATGTATATATTGTAGAATGGCTAAATTGAGCTAATTAACACATGCCTTACCTCATTAACTTATCCTTTTTTGTGGTGAGGACACTTAAAATCTATTCCATAAGCAATATTTAGGAATACAATGTGTCGTTATTAACTGTAGTCACTGTGATCTCTTGAACTAAATACTTCATTTTAATGAGCGTGTTCTCTTTTTTCTACTTATAACAGCATCAGCTAAATGACATTCTCATTTAGTTAAAAACAAAAATGAAGGGAGGATATTGGTCTTAAAAGATTTGGAGGTAAAAGCACATGACTGGTTTAAAGAGAATTAATTTTTTATTGATAGCCTTTTCCTTGCCATATAAAACAAACTTGTTGAGAAATTATTTGATAACGTAATTTTTTTAAGAGTTAACAATCTTGAGCTAGGAAAATTCCTTTAGTTGCTCACACTGGGTAAATCAGCCTTTCCAGATATCATTCCTGCAACTTACAGCAGTATAATTCATAAAAGTGAATAAGTAGTTCATAATGTTGGTTGTAACTGATTTGTCTTTTTATCAACCCTTTGGGATTGTATGTAATAAGTTTTGCAAAGTCTGGAACAGTCTTGACTGTTAGCATTCTGTGTATTTTTGTGGTGGGTGTGTACTTTTAGATTTGAATCAACAACAAAAGTAAAACATTTCCTACAGATGCAGAGACAGATGGGGATACATGCTATGGTCATACAAAGCCCAGTTATTAACTGTGTTCAATGTATGTTATTCAAGATGCAGCCATATATATGGTCCTGGACTGGAGCTCCTCTCATGTGCTTCTCAGATACTTTCCAGGACACCTCATCACGTGCTAGAAAAAAATCTATACTCCTTGGGCTACATTTGAGGTCTTTTATAATACAGCCTCCATCCACTTTCTCCACCGTCTGTTCCAGAACTACTCTCACCACTCGTTCAGTGGCTCAGCCCAGTGTCTATTGTTGGTTCCTCTCATATTACTCAGGAAGCCAGAAGGTGTCACAATAATTTTTTTAAGTATTCATGAGCCCCCTACTGTGTGTGTGCAGCCCAGGAAGCCCTTGAGAAATCCAAAAATAAGTTAGAAATCAAAATAAATGCATATCAAATAACATTTTGAGATAATGTTTAAACTGTAAATTTTATAGATTTGTAAGTGTTATATAAAATCCAAGGAGAGAGAAAATCTGGAAAGGTGCCAGATTTTCAAGAGAGAGAGAAAAGGCACCAGATTTTAAGGAGATAAAATCTGGAAAGGTACCAGTTGTCTGGGAAGGCACCATAGAGGAGATGGAAAATAGAGGAGTTAAATATTTGAGACAACACATATATTAAATAGCCTGATTCAACCATTCCACAAGGGATACATATATCAGAGCATCATGTTGTATACCATAAATACATATAATTATTGCTTGTCAATTAAAAAAAAGTTAAGCATAGAGTTTAGTCAAAGGGAAGCAGGTAGGCCAGGCGCGGTGGCTCACGCCAGCCTGTAATCCCAGCACTTTGGGGGGCCAAGGTGGGCAGATCACAAGGTCAAGAGATTGAGACCATCCTGGCCAACATGGTGAAACCCCATGTCTACTAAATATACAAAAAAATTAGCTGGGCATGGTGGCGCGCACCTGTGGTCCCAGCTACTCAGGAGGCTGAGGCGGAAGAATCGCTTGAACCCAGGAGGCAGAGGCTGCAGTGAGCTGAAATTGTGCCATTGCACTCCAGGCTGGGTGACAAGAGCAAAATGCCATCTCAAAAAAATAAATAAAGGGAAGCCTAGAAGGCATCCAGGCAAGAGGAGGCAACCACTATCAAGGAGAACACATGGACTTTGATGTGAGACCTAGGTTTGAATCTCAGGAATTCTGCTTTGGTTCTCTTGGACAATTTGTTTAATTTCTCTGAGCTACAATTTGTTTTCTATGGAAAAAAAGTAGAAATGGTAACACCTATGCTGTGTGGTTGCTGTAATGGTTAAATAGGTCACCTTATGTGCTGATTAATGGAAGGTTCCTATAAATGATATTTTCATTTGACGTTTCCATAAAGGAAGATGCAGAGCCATGGTGGTAACACTGGTCTGAGCAGAAGGTGTATCTTGGGAAAAAAAACAACTGAAAAAAAAAAACAAGCTGCAAAGTTAAGATTAAAAAAGAAAGAAAGAAAGAAAAATAAGAAGGTGCATCTTGTGGGGGATGTGACAGGAGACCTATCTGCACATGTTGAGTGAGGCCGGGTAATAGGAAATTCTAAGAACTTTATACTGATGTGAAAAATAGGGGCTATTGTAGTGATGTGGGTAAAATAATGCTTAAGGAAGATTGTTTTTCTCTTCTGGAATCACATCCTCCATTATTGCCCACACAGAACACTCCAGCCTTCTGCTGCCACTCTACCATTCATGTACCTGGATATACAACAACCTTTTTTTTTTTTTTCAAACCAGAAATGACTACATTATGAACAGATGGTAAAAGTTAGTTGTGAAACTCAAGATTTCTGTAGCTCTTCATTACAAATCGTTCAGATATATTTTTAAAAATAAAGGTGATTTTTAAACATACTGATAGCCTAACATTTACTAAATTTTAGGTTGCATGATCACATTGAGTACCATAGCCCACTTAACCCCGGAGCACTGTCTACTTACAAAATTTGGGAGGATATTCTCTTATTCTGCAAATATTCCCATTATCGTACAAATATTATGACACTCCTCCTCCTCCTTAGCAAAAGGTAAATTCTTTCTTACTTTTCTCTCAAGTTTACGTCCATTGTAAATAATCTGCGTAGTAAATGCGTTAAGCCTGGATTGGTTGATGGTTTCCATGCTAATTTATTTCCTCTTCATTAAAAAAGGACAATTCCTTCTTAATTGTGAATAAAAGCATTAAGATAGAAGCATTCATTGTCTGGTGGGAAATAGGGGAAGTGGAGAAGGGGAAGCACATATTTCCTGAAGCCGACCTATTTGTCAGGCTCGATGAATAATGGCATCATTGATACTGAATCAGTACTCTCAAAGCAGCTCTCAAAACTAGGGGATAGCAGGGGGAGAGAAAGACAGAGAAAGAGAAAGATACGTGCATGGATTGAGAAAGGAAAGAGAAGCAGAAACTTTAAGTTTTGTGCAGTGTGTCAAAATGTTACATTCTCATTCATGTCCCGCTCTTTATTAAAAGCTATAGGAAAAGCCTCCACGCTTCCACTTTCTGATTTAGAAACACGTAATTCTCTAGTAGGTATAATGGCATTGCAGTGGGTTGGTTGGAGCTGTTGAAGAATATGGACTCCCAAGTCAGACTGTGTTCAAATCCTGGCTCTAACACCTTCTATCTGTGTAAGGCCACTTGAGATACTGAATCTCACGATCCTTCTGTTTCCACATGTGGTAAATAAGGATACTAATAGGTCTGATCTCATAGGGTTGACTTGGGGACTAAATGATATGTTCATGTAAAGTGCTTAATCTAGTAAGTCCCTGGCTGCTTAGGGAGTAGGAAGCACTCTCTTGATATTTATCATCATCTTTATTTTTGTCTCACTGTGACAGGAGTCAGGGTGGTAGCATCAGTACTTTGGAAAGAAAATGCAGTGTACTGAGATTTATGACAAATGGTTTTGCCACAAACTGCTAGACCTTGGGCAAGCTAATTTCTGTGGGTCTCTGTTCTTCATCTGTGAAAGGAGGAGATAATGGCCTGGAATGATCTCAGATCCCTTCCAGCTCTCTGATAAAACATGAATCAGCCATTTTCTGTTGGCCACACAGCTGTTCCAGTGGACTTTTCAGAGACAAATTAAAGGCTTATTTGTTAAGCCATTCTCATTGCATTGAATCATGCTTTGAGGTATTTTACATGTTATTTATGTATTGATTTATTTATTGA